GGTGATGAACTCCTTCAGATTTTGCTTGTTTGGAAAACTCTTTATGTCTCCTTCAGTTCTGAAGCACACCTTTGCCAGACAGAGTGCTCTTAGTTGGCACTTCCTTTTAGCACTTTGAATATATTATGTCACTCCTTTCTAGCCTGCAAAATTTCTGCTGAAGAATAGCTCATAGTCTTATGAGAGTTCACTTGTATGTAACAAGCTGTTTTTTTCCCACTGCTTTTTAAGATTCTCTCCTTGTCTTTAATGGTTTAATTATGTGTCTTGGTGTGGATCTCTTTGGGTCCATCTTTTTTAGAATTCTCTGGGCTTCCTGGATCTGGCTGTCAGTTTCCTTCCCCAGGTTGGGGAAACTTTCAGCCATAATTTGTTCAAATAAAATTTCTGCCCCCTTTTCTCTCTCTCTTCTTCTGCGACCCCTATAATGTGAATATTGGTCTTCTTGATCTTGTCCCATAAGTCCCTTAAGCTTTTTCATTCTTTTTTTCTTTTTGCTGTTCTGATTGGATGAGTTCCACTACCCTGCCTTTGAGTCCACTGATTCCTTGTTCTGCTTTATCTAGTCTGCTATTGAATGACCTAGTGCATTTTTTAGTATACTGTATTTTTCAGCTCTGTGACTTCTATTTGGTACTATCTTATATTTTCTGTCTCTTTGTTGAAGTTCTCACTGTATTCATCATTCACCTTCCAAGCATGGTGAGCTACTTTATGACTGTTACTTTGAACATTTTATTAGGTAAATTACTTATCTCTGTTTCACTGAGGGCTTTTTCTAAGGTTTTATCTTATCCTTTTGTTTGGAACGTATTCTTGTTTCTTCATTTTTCTTTGAATCTCTGTTGTTTTCTTTTAAATCTATGATTTAAATAGCCACCTTTCCCAGTTTTGAAGGGGTGACATCATGTAGGAGATGAACCTTATTGCTCAATCCTGCCCTAGCTCTTGGCTGTCTCCCAAAGCTTTGTGATTGTTCAAGCAGCCTACTATAGATTTAGTGGCTTCCAGTAGGTGAGGGTTTACCAAGATCTTACCAAGATCTCTCAGTGTCCCAAAGGGGAGTATCTCAGTCAGCACCTAGATTCAGGCTGATTGGAAGCCAGACACTTAGTTTTTAAAGTATGCAAACATATCTCTTTCAGGGGAAGCCTGGGAGATGGGCATTTCTGTGTATTCCCTCTGTGCTGAGCCTTGGGGTAATAGCCAGTTAGGAACTGGTTCTGTGTTTGCTACTGTTCCATTAACACAAAAACACAAGCCCTGTGAACACAAGCACCTCTGGCCACCAGAGCTAGGTTATCAAAGGATGTGGTATGGCCACAAATGCTGGAGACCCTGATGACCTAGGGTGGGACAGAGGAAGCATGATGATGATACTTGGCAGCCTCCCTGGTCTCCAGAGAGGATTATAGTTGGCCCTTAGAAGTGCTTTTAATGAGAAGTTTGCCCCTTGGGCCACAGTTATGAAGATAAGCTAATAGGCACCTTTCACAGAAGTACTGGATATGCATTTCAGACTGCTGTCTCTCCGCTGTCCCTTGGCGAGGGGGGAGCCAGTAAAGAACTATTTCTCCATTGGTTGCCGTCCTATGGCACCCACGAATGTAAGTCCCATTGGCCACCAGAGCCAGGGGATCAAGGGTTGTCCCATAGGCAGCAGCTGCAAAGACCAGGGCACCAGATGTGTGCATAAGTGCCTTTCCCAGAAATACCAGTGATCTGGAGGGAGGCAGAGGGAGAGCATGAAGATGGCTCCCACTGGCCCCTGCGGCCTTTAGAATACTTCAGAAGGGTGCTCAGTGTGTGTTAAGTTAGAAGCCTGCCCCTCCCTCAGGCCAAATCTTTCAGATAAGCAAGCAGGTGTCTTTCAGAGGAAGACTGGACACTTTTCAGTGGGCTACCTCTCCGCTGAGCTCTGGGGGTGGCCAGCTCAGTCTGCATGAGCCCTTTAAGAACTATTTCTCCGGTGGGTGAAATGGATAAAGGGGTCACAAGTTATAAGTTAAGTTCTGGGGATGTCACATACAGTGTGGTGCCTATAGTTAATAGTACTGTACTGTACATTTGAAAATTGCTAAGGAAGTAAATCTTAAAAACTATTAGAAATTTCTGTATTCTCATGGACTTTTTATCTTTCAAATAAAAAAATGTGAGTAGACTACAGAAAACGTGTAGTTTGCTGTAGCCTGTGGGTCTCATGGACACAAACCCCATTGGCTTTCAAAGCTAGATGTTTTGGGGGCTCGTCTCTTCGATGTAGGTCTTAAAAGTTGGGGTGCCAGATGTGGGGTCCAGACCCTTCACTCCTCAGGGAGAAGCTCGGAGTTGGGAGTTCCTTCCTGACCGTGGCTGGCCATGCTGGCGGAGGGGGTGCTTAAGGGAAGATCGTGTCTCAGCCTCTCCTGTCCGTTTCAATGTGGGCTTTCTTCCTCATTTGCCCAATTTGTAGGAGTTGCTCATCTAGTTTTTGTTTCTTTCAGAAGATGTTGTCCTGTATGTAGTTGTAGATTCAGTGCATCTGTGGGAGGAGGTAAGTTCAGGACCCTTCTGTGTCACCATCTGGAATGAGAACCCTCTTGTTTATCATCTTATTAATACACCAGTGGGTAAGAGTGCAGACTCCAGGGTCCAGCTGCTGGGGTTACTGCCCTGCCTGCTCACTTCCTGGCTGGGGAATTTGGGCCTTTGCCAAATTGGGGTAAGTGTAGCATGTGGCTTGTAAGGTTGCTTGAGAACAAATAGCCACACACAGAGTGCTCAGGGCTGGATGGCACGGGGGCGTCAGTAAAATCATTTCTCATCTGTCTCCCACTTCTCGAGTGTCAACTTCATGAAGACAGGACTTTAGTTTGTACCCCTAGCCCCAGGATGGAGAACACGGCTAAATATTCCTTATTCACTGGCTTCATCCCTCATCCTGCTGGCCTGACCACCCCATTCCAGTCCGACCTTTGCTTTTTTTAGAATCTTCGCAGCTTTCCATCCTGTCCTTTACGCATCTTTCTTTGAGTCTTTGTAACCTTTCAAGGCAATAGCTGTATCGTCTGTCCCAGGGAACTCCCCGAGGCTGGTCGAAGTGTCTGATAGATACAGACAGATGGGTGACAAGCTTTCTTAGCTGAAATTTAACCTTTCAGCCTGCTGCACCATTTGTGTGTAATTGGCTAAGTTTTAGTGGGAGTATTAGGAAACCGTAGGTGCCAACTTTTACACTATTCCAGGCGTGTACGCATTAACTGTCAGAAATGTGACTTTATTTCACTAAGGTAGCAAATTCTGTGACCTGCGTGGCAAGTTAGACTACCTGTATAATGTGTGCTTTTTTTCTCCCCCCCCCCCAAAACACCACAGACCAACGTAGGACAGAGCAGAGAGGCGGAGCACCGGACATAGAGGAGGGTGGCATCTAATAGGGAAGGCCCTGGAGATCTGGTAAGGGGCCAACTTCATATACTCCCAGTGTTTAGGGCTTAAAAAAAGCTACCTTCAGTTTGTGGGTGCAGGTGTCCTGCTTAAATCTAGATGTGAAAATTAGCTTAGGAAAGAGAACTCACAATTAGAGGCCAGTTCTTTGGTAGGCACTTTTGTAAGTGTATTTATAATGTCGGTTCCTAATTACCACTTACGAAATGAGAGTTGGGATTCGACCCTGGGCCTGACTTCTCCTGAAGACCTCCTGAGACCCTACGCACTGTGCTCTTCACTTTCCACTGCTCAGTAAGAGCCCTCCGTGGGCAAGTAGGGCTGGGTTCTGTGCAAGCTTGAACATGCTCTGGACTGAGTGGGAGTGACTCGGCTGTCTGTACCTCAGACTACCCAGCAGGTCTAAGAAAAAGGCTGCCTCTAGCTTATCTATGCAGATGTAGTTTTTTTTTCCTGCCATGCTGGCCGACAGGTACATGGCCGTTAGCCAGGGTTCGCCTCTCTCGGTGGCGGAGGTGATGTCAGTTCTGCAAGCGCTGATAGCCGGGGGCACCCTTGTTCTCTGGGATGGGGTGGCCGGGGGAGGCTAGAGTGTGCATCCTGTGTTCCAGGGACAGCCACGTTGTATACAGTGCTTATGGACACTTTACTAGAATACATGATCCTAGATGAGAAAAACCAAAGTAGCCACCTTTCGGCTATGTTCGATTTGTAGTGATATGCTTGACAGAAAACTGTGCGTGTCTGATTTCAGACCACAATTTGAGAGGTAGAGCGCTAAAGGAAAGCACAAATATGTATGATTTGGAAAACAGGACTTCTCTGGAAAAGTACAAGTTAATGGAACAGTGAAGTAATCTTGTAAGCCTTTTTAAGGTTGAGATACTTCATACAAAACAGGAGTTATTTTTGTCATCTGAAGCAAGACAAAGAAGAAACGGTTTTCTTCTCATAAATTAGATCAGCATTTCCCAAACTGATGCCCAAAGGAACAGTGTTTCATGAGATGCTAATGCCTTGAAATTGTATGAACAGTAGTTTGAGGAATGGTATATCCTCCTCTTAAACATCTGGGGTGGCAGGGGTAAGGGGCCAAAACCGTTTTAAGTGTGACTATTTCTAAGAAGCGGTCTATGGGAGGGAAAAACAGCTTGGGAAATGCTGAAATTTCTGATTTGAAGGTAAGTTTGGATAAATATATCTGGAAGGTTCACTCATGTGAGTTTTATATGCCAGGTACTCCGACGTCCAGGGATACTTTGTAACCAAATTGATAGGCCAATAATCTGAAGCTTCTGGTCCACTGTTTTTTTCAGCATGAGTATCCAAATCAAAAGAGTCTGATTATCCGCTGACTGAATGGTTAATACAGAAGCTAGCGAGCTGCCTCTGATAGCTTCATCACCATAAACAAGGGAGCTGGAACGGATGCACACACCTTCTCAGCACTAACATTCTAGGACTTCACTGTTTGGAAACTAACTTGTGTGGAAAGGTGAACTGCTTGTTCCAATAGAAAAGTGACACGATCCGGAGTGAGTGCCCCTCAACACAAAGGAACCAGAACTAAAGCCTCCCATTCTTAAATAACATTTATTATTGTTGCAAAGAAGTCTTTTTCATGAGAACAGTTCTCACATTTAAAGCTATATCGGTTATGGTTATAGAAGCAGATTTCATTGAGTGCTCTAGATGAAGTATGCCCGACTACGACTCTGAATTCAGCAATCTAATATTCACAATGTGTTGGCTGCCACTTAGCTATTGATCCAAACATGCCTTTTAATTTTTTTTTTTTTTTTAAAACATGTGCCTGCACAGGGTGGAAAAAGAAACACCAAGGGCTTGCTAAAAAGGAGAAGCCTAAAAAAGATAAAATTCCCGCAGCAGTTCTGTTCAACTGCAGTCTGTGAGTGCAGGAATAGTGTCCGTGGGGGGAGCATTATGCCCAGTGGTTTCTCCGTGTGAACGGTGGGAAAGCCCTTGAGGTTTTCTGCGGCTGTCGGGAGGGAGAGGGAGAGTCCGTTTACTGGATCCAGTCGATGTTCAAGCACCGCGCTATGAACGCAAACATATCTGAGACCTCTTCTATCACTTTGGCCGTGGGCTTCCCGGCCCCGTGGCCGGCCTTGGTGTCCACGTGGATAAGCAGGGGGTTGCTTTGCTTCCGGCTCCGGCCCACGACATACTGAAGGGTGGCGATGAACTTCAGGGAGTGGAGTGGGACCACGCGGTCATCGTGGTCGGCGGTGAGGAGAAGCATGGACGGATACTGGATGTCGTCTGCCTCCGGGAGCTTCACGTTGTGCAACGGAGAGTATCTGAAAGGCAAAGGCAGTGTGGTTTGTCCACGAGGCTGCTCAAGGAGCACTGGCGGGCACAGTAACCCACGTAGTTTACCAGCCTAACTTCACTAGCCATGACTGCGGCTGACTAGTCCCCGCGTGACCATCGCAGTCTCTGCGTGCATCGCCGTGGAGGTCAAACTGGCCAGGGCTACTGCAGAGTGGGGAGCTGTGTCACTTCTGTGGCTCCCACTTTGGAAGACTGGGTAAAGAAGAAACTCCTAGGGCTGCTGAGATGACCCTAACTATGTGTGCACGCTTACGGTCCGGAATAGTTCTGTATTCTTTAGACTAACTTTCTCACTACTGCAAAGTGGACTGACTTTAAGCCACTGATTGTGAGTATAATAGGAGCGAGCCTTTCTTTTGTTGAAAAACTTGAAATTCAAAGTGTATGGCAGCTTTTTACCCCTTTACCATCTATAAACCGTTTACTGCAGGCTCAGCGTGGCAGTCTTAGGAAGAACCCAGGTCCTGTCTGGGCCTCCTGCTGGCTCTCACGGTCCGGCAGAAAGAAACGGCCTTTGGCTGATGGGGACAAAGTTAGTGGAGGGGCAGAGGAAGCGCCTTCTGAAGTACAACTTTTCAGGTAAGGGAACAAGAGGGTTTTAAGAATAAAAGTATAGTCGAATTAAACAGTAACTGATAGTAGTTAAGTGAGTGAAATCTCTGGACTTTTTTTCTTTACATTTTACTCAATAATATGGACGTCCTGTTTCTCAGCGTTCACTATTACTGAATATAATCGGCTATTTTAGGAGACTTTTATTTTGGAGGGTAAATAGTCAAAAACAGTAAAATTTCTGCTCAGTTAACCAAGTCAAGACTGAAAAGTTCTGGAGTTTAGCCTCCCAACAGATAAGGTGGGGGCGGCAATGGATTGGTTTTCTGATCTTATTTCAGAGTGTTGTTCTTGGATCAACCCCAGCCCTCCAAATAAAGGTTAGTTCTTGGGGAAAAAAACTGAGAGGTTCTGTAGAAAATTTATCCAACTATTCCCAAATGTGAAAGTCCAGCTCTTTCATGGGGGGGACACGCTGCCAGGTTTGAGCAGCTCTCAGTAAGGCCCTCTCTGGCTCAAGTGTGTAGGGCTGAGCTCTCTGCTGCTCTGGGAGCAGCAGTATGAGGAGAATACAGCCCCGTGAGAGCTAGGTTGGAAAAGTAAAGATACTTTTCTTTTTTTTTCCCAAATTAATTTTAGAAGTATTAGGTTCCATTGAATATTTTGTTGCCTTTGATACACAATTCAGTCAGTATTTTTGAGTTTAGATGGGACTCCCTAAGTGTGTATTTTCTTTACATTAATTTGAACTATAGCTTCTTTATTTAGCTTTTACTGGGATTTGTCAACGAGGTTATTGCAATGATAAAACTGTGGTCATTTTAGCTGAGGAGCTAAAACCATAAAAAGCACATAAAATGAAACAAAAAAGCTTGACTGGAGAAATTATTGTATTGAAATGTGGAGTCGACTGAGAAGACTGGGACAGGGGACACAGGCAGTTCCTAAGTGCTGATGTTGATCCCCAACCCCCTATGCGTGGGAAGCGAAGACAATGAAGAGCCAGAAAAGAATGTAGCTTGCGGTCTTGGGAGTCTAAATGTCTGTCATTTTCTCATTGGTCTTGCCAAAGCGGTTGAAGGATAGGAATGCAGTTGTACAATATTTTAATAATGTGATTTGCAGTTTCAAACATATATGGTTACACTGAGAGAACAAAACAAGTTTAATGTACCTGCATATATCCCTCTTTATTTCCTTCTTAAAATCCCATACATAGATGTTAAGTATAATGACACCTTTTTCTATTAGTTTTTGATTGCTATGGTAACAACCTACCACAAGTTTGGCAGCTTTTAAAACAACACAGATTTCTTATCTCACAGTTCTGTCAGCCAGAAGTCTGGGTTGGCTCAACCGGGTTCTCTGCTCTGGGTCTCAGGGCTGAAATCAAGGTGTTGGCTGGCTGGGCTCTTATCGGGAAATTCTGGGGAAAAAATCTATTTCCAGACTCATTCAGGCTGTTGGCAGAACTCAGTTCCTGTGTGATTATAGGACTGAGGTCTCCCTTTTTTTGATGACCACTGGCTGGAGGCTGGTCTCAGGTTCTAGAGGCCCCTTCCTCCATCTTCAAAGCCAGCAATGGCAGATCCAGTCCTTCTCAGGCTTCTAATCTGACCTCCCTTTCTGCTGCATTCCCTGCCTCCAGCCTGAGAAAGTGCTCAGCCTTTTAAGGCTTTGTCATTAGACTGGGTCCACTTCAGTAATCTAGGATTATCTTCTTATTTTAAGGTCCACTGATGAGTAACCTTAATTTAATCTGCAAAGTCCCTTCACAGCGGCACTCAGATTAGTGTCTGATTTGAAGAGACCAGGGGACGGGAATCTGGCGGGGGGAGGATGACTTTAGAATTCTGCCTGTCACATCTTTGTCATTTGTTGTTTTTGTAAAGACCAGATCAAAACAAGGAAGACAAAGAGGAATTTCCATCACTTCCATTCCTTTTGCAGTAAATGATATGCAAACAGGAGACCCTGAGTCAAACACTTATCCTTTTAACTGCGTTCAGTATTATATCAGATTGTTAGCAACATGTACCATATGTATCGATAGGAATCCAGACTTACTTGATAAGCCATTCGAAGTGTTGTTTGCTGTCTGAGCACCCGTAATCGGTGGTCCAGGCATGGCCGATGGTGTATTTATGGAACTTCAGCATGTCCATTACTCCCACTTGGGCAATAACACAACCGAAGAGGTCCGGGCGCTGATTTGCACAAGCAGCTGAAAACCAGGACAGAAAGAACGGAAAAGGAGGGCGGTTTGTCTTTAAACATCTAAATAAACAAGGACAGATCAGCACTTTAAATACATTTTTTCCTGGAGCACAGGAAGACACCATCATAAACCACCTGCCTAATGGCCACAAGCTTTTCTCCCTGCTTCCAGTATATCTGAGGGGTAGGATGTTCTCACTGGTGATAGAGATTCATTCCCTGAAGTGAATCTCAATGGGGGAGTTATTCAGAAAAACTCAAGGATTTTCTGGAAAACTTGTGTCCACTGCTCTCATTCCTATTTTTTTTTTTTTTTTCACAAGGAAAACTTGTTCAGAATCTCAAAAGTAACCTGTGACATTGTGACATGATAAGAAATATATAGTTATTGTCCCCAGTTCCTGGCACAGAACTCCTAAACCCCTTGGAATTTCCTGAGTGACACAGGCGAGAAGCATGTCTTTTAGAACTCATGGCTGGCCCCTTTCAACCATACCTGAGTTTATGCTAAAGAGGTGACACCTGGTGGGCTCCTAGGGGGCTACTCGATGGGAGCTGTCGCCACACAGGAGCCAACCCCGTGGTTAGAGGGGTGGGACTCTCAGCCCCGCCCCTGACCTTGGGGGAGGGGAGAGGGGCTGAAAATTAAGCTAATAATGGCTAATGACTTCCTTTATCATGCCTGCCTAATAGAACCTCCATAAAAACCCCTAAGCAGTGGAGTTCAAAGAGCTTCCAGGCTGGTGAACACTGAAGTGCTGGGAAGGTGGCCTTCCCAGAGAGGACATGCCCATTCTGCAAGCCCCCCCTCGACCACACACCGTACTCTCCTCGGGTCTGGGAGCTGTTCTCACAAATTACCAAAGCCAAGCAGGCGGAACATGGGAACCCGACGGACAGCAAACACTTCGAATGGCGTATCAAGTTAAGTCTGAACCCGAATGGGAAGCCAGTCAGTCAGAAGTATGAGGGGCCCGGGCCTTGGAACCAGTTTGGGAGACTGAGCCTGTTCCACGCGGGGTCTGTGCTCACTCTGGGCACTGTCCGAACTGAAGTGCAGGGCCGCCAGCGCGTGTGGGAGAGCTGGCTGGTGTGAAGGAAAAGACCCCATACACTTGCTGTCGGAAGTGTCGTGAGTAGAAAGTGTTCACACAGCCCAAGGCAGGCCTGAAAGCGAGCACAGGCTCTAACCAATACTGGTGCACGTTCTTGTCCTGGTTTAAAACTACCTGTCTTCGTACACTGAAGTTACATAAATGTATTCTTTTGTTTTGATGACTCGACAATATTTACTGAATATCCCGCCACGTGCCTGGCACTGGAGTCAGATCAGTGAGTGTTCCAGTGGGAAAGTTAAGTGCACGAGTGATTACAGTGTGGGAACCACCACCGCGGGGGAGCCCAACCCGGGGTAAGGAGTTAGGGAGGCTGTGAGAGGAAGTCACATCAAAGCTGGCATGACAAACAAACAGTGAGTCAAGGGAATCTGGACTTCTCCCGCTTCTGGCAAAAAACCCAGTTCTGATTTGGGTGCTTATTCCTAATACCAGATCCTGAGTCCTACCCTGGGAGACCCTGATGCTCTCAGATATTAGAGGGGCAGGAATCTGTCCTTTTAGCCTTCAACACCCTGAGAAGGGAAATCCATTTCTGCAAGTTCCTCAAGGAACCAGGTTTGCCAATAGATGTAAACCAATAAACTGAAAATATAAAGGAATTACTGGATGAAACCGTGAATTACTGAACAACTCTCCCACTATTGGAATCAGATGGCATTTTCTTTTTTTTTTTTTTTTTAGATTTTATTTATTTATTTGACAGAGAGACACAGTGAGAGAGGGAACACAAGCAGGGGGAGTGGAAGAGGAAGAAGCAGGCTCCCCGCCGAGCAGGGAGCCCGATGCAGGGCTCGATCCCAGGACCCCGGGATCATGACCCGAGCCGAAGGCAGATGCCTAACGACTGAGCCACCCAGGCGCCCCCAGATGGCATTTTCAATATCCTTTCCCATTAAATCTTAGATTTATTTGCCCTTCGTGCTTCTCTTTTACAGTTTGCATATGATCCACATGCAGATTCAGAACAAACCCAGAATCTGACCCCCTTCTAGCAGCTTCCAACACACGCTCCAGGGCCAAGCCACCACCGTGTCTCACAGGGACGGAGGCCTCCTACCTGGCCGCCTGCTTTCCTGCTCTTGCCTCCCCTAACACCATTACACGATCAGTGCAAGATCGATCCCATTAAAAAGTAAGTCAAATTATGACACTCCCCCAAAGGCTTCTCATTCACCCAGACTAAACTAGCCTGGCTCTGAGGTCCTGCCTGGTTTCACCTCCTGCCACCTCTCCTGACACTCTCCCTCGCTCACTATGCCCAGCAACAGCCGTGGGCCTCTACTCTGTTGCTAGAACACTCTGAGCCCTTGCTGGCCTCAGGGCCTTTGGTGTGTATGGTCTGCTGCCTCCGACTAGAACGAAAGCTCCATGGGGGCAGAGGTGCTGTTTTGTTTGAAACCTATCACTGCCCTTTCTAAATTTAAATTATTTTGGACATATATATTTTACCTACATGGGAATTTTTTTTTCTTCAAGACTATATTGGGGTAAAGAGTAAGAACAGGTATTCAGGTTTTGCAATGACTCCGTATATTTCAAGGATAAGGAAACTGAGTGAATGTGCGGCTCCCCTGAGCCTGCTTCGAAAACAGTGGATTTTCACTTGTGTTTTAAGTTGAGCCTATATTTGTACAACGGCCCCTCATATACTGACATTGGATGTAGGACCCAGCAAGCAAAGCCACCATAAATGTTCATTACAAGGTAAAATGTCATTAACTACCAAAAATTAGGAAAAGCTACTTAGAGGCCATAGCACTTGCAGGTTAAAGGAACAGAATCTAAAAGCACAGTATTAGGTTCCGGCCCCAGCATCACCACTTTCCAGCTGTGTGACACCAGGCAAGCTGCTCAACCTCTCCGTGCCCCTGGGTCCTCGGTAAAATGGGAATGCTACCAGTTTCTGTCCCTCAGGCTGCGTGCGTGACAAATGAGAGTGTGCATGTGAAGGGCTCAGCGCCCAGCACACAAGGTGCTCAACAAGTGTGAATTAATACCATGAACGATTTCCTGACTATTCTGCTGTGCATCGGTCTGCGTGCTACCTCATTTTCTTTCACTACTCCTCTCTCTGCACCCACAGCATAGGTATTCAACAAATGTTTAGTGGTGATCACATCTTACAAGTAACACAATCACAGGAGTTACCAGGCTCAATCCTGTGCTGGCTGAATCCTAGAAAGGGTCTAGTGGATCTAGTTTGTGGGGCGGGGGGTCCCACCCAGTGTGGAGCTCGGGGCATGCAGGGGAGAAGCTTCTCAGGCTATTGTGAATCAAGCCTGTGTACAGTGGGTTCAGCTGGGTCTTTATGTGTCTTTTATCAGATGCCCTGATACAAATGGGTTTTGCTTTCTTTGCTCCCATCCATGAGCCAAAGTCAGTCAAGAGCTGTCTCCGGGCAGTGTATCTGAAAACCCCAAGAGTGTTAACTAGTAAGTACAATAGAATCCAGTTCTCACCCACTAAGAGGCCTCCGTTTGAACCTCCATTAATAGTCAGCCTCTTGGGAGATGTGTAACCTTCCTTGATAAGATACTCTGCCGCATGCTGAAAGTCATCAAAGCAGTTTTGTTTGTTTGCCAAGATACCACCTGCAATGTACCAAAGTAAAAGATGGTTAAGAAACAAAACATTAAAACACACACACACACACACAGACACACACACAAGTTTAACCTAAAGGGAATTCAAACGATAGGGCAGAGTTTCAACTATGGATCACTTACACACAGTGGGCGAACACCACATTTAGAAAAATGCCTCAACTGCAATTTTGTTACACATATGGAAATCCATCAACACCACAATCACTAATCCATACGGTAGATATGTATATTTCTAAAAACAACGGCAGTGCCCCATAGGGAAGAGATGATCTGTTAGGTCAGAAAACCATGAGGACAAAAGTACGACAACAGGTAACCAAAAAGAACCTAGATATTAGAGAGGCTGAACTTAACCTTGAGCTGTGCTCAAGCCTTTCTGTGCTCTGAGTAGCGAGCAACGACCCCCTCTCGGGGACAGGACAGCTGTGTGCCCACAGGGGCGCTTCTCCACCCTCCTCTTGGCCGGAGCTGGAAACGGTCATGCTGAGAAATAAGCTCTTCAGTTCCGCCCTTCTTTAGGGAATGTAAGCAGGAGTGAGGTGGGAGGTGGTGGTGTGCTGAGCAGCCTGTTAGAGTTGCTCAATTCTTGAATGAAGATCTCAGACCTCTCCCCAGAGAATCTGGATTTTCTCATCCAGAAGTCATCCAGTGTATAAAACCACACAAAGAAATTATGTAAAGAGAGGAACATTTGTAAGGTCTTGGAATATCTGAAAGTAAAGGCCAAAAGTCAAAGATGGGCCCTCAACGGAAGAGATGTCTTAAGTAACTGCCTATGAGATGAACCAAAAGCAGGCAGGTCTAATTAGATATTTGAGATTAACCACTTCTGCAGAAATTCAATTAAAGATGAAGCTGTGCTACTGAAGCAATTTTTTCATATGAAAAGAAATGTTGTTAAAATCTTAATAAGAAATTATCGGTGAATTAGAATAGCTAGAATTACTTAGTTTCCAGGAATAATATCATTTTGGGTATAGGACTATATTTTTTAAAGAGCATTAAATTTTAAACTCAATAAACCGAATGGAATTTAGATCTATCAATGTTTAGTATACTAGGGTCTAACTGGAAAAATCCATTTCTGGCCCCTTGACTGCCTAAATTTGGAGAAAGTTTATGAATCAGTCTAAATACAGACAGTCTACTTTTAGACTCATTCAAGCTCCAAACTCCCCCCTCCCCCACCCAGGGCTTTTGGACAATTAAGTTGGTTCATTAATACAGAGATGCGAGAGTACTGGTGTCTATCACAGCACAGTGCACCTGATGACCACGGGGTTCTGGAGAAGAACCTGGGTTCTCTAGGAGCAGGCCACAGGACCAGGAGTCCATGCAGGGGTGTGTGTATGCCAACGGTTTAGTCAGTGACGTGTGTCGGGGGTCCAGACTTGGCACACGGATGGGGAACATAAATATGTATGTAGAGATTTTCTTATTTTTCTTTGATCAATCATCTCTTAATATCACAGTATGATTTTAGTGTAATTAAACTCTGATATCAGGTCAGGGTCAAAATTATGCAATGATAATTTTGGGGATGACACTCGGGAGCAGTTGCCCTAATGATGGCAGGCAGGCCAGGAGCCCATGTGGTAATGAGAAATGCTCACTCTTGCTAAGATGCTCATAGTATGTTGTCTGATGTCAGCCTCTAGGGTACTTGCTGGATGTTCAGGGGGTCAGGCCTGGCCTTTCCTACATCTTGTCATCTAACAGGTGCTTACGAAAAATCTCTTTACAGATCTACCCTCATCTTTGCAGACTGGATTTGGTGCAGAAAACCCACAGCCTCTGGCCACAGGTTCAGGCACAGGTGGATATATGCAGGTCTGCTGCTCCTACCGTGGGAGAAGACCCCCTTTTGCCTGATGCTGCTGACCAACACCAAGGCCTGGTGGCTACCTTTGTTCTGGTAGGCCTTCTTATAAATGATGGCTGATGATGAGAGTGGGGAGCAGCCTGAGGCCGGTGGGAGTGAACGTGCATTCCCACATCCTCCTCTGGCTATTGGTTAGTCTAAGAATTCCAGACACACAAAAGTCCGGGGGAAAGGATGTGCTCCATATGGAAAGAAAAGGAAGAAATAAGGCTTTAAAAAAATTTCGACGAAGCCTGGGGAATGAAGCTTAGTATCGAAGCAATATCCTCAATGAAGTAGAATACATGCTTCAGGAGCCCGGAGAACAGAGACTGAATAATTAAAACCAGAAAAGAAAAACGAGTGAGCTCCTGAGTCTAAAACCTGCTCACGACAGAGTCACAGCCGTAATGCTAGGAGGTTGCTACTTCTTAGCAACATCGGGAAAATCAGAGAAAACAAGCAAAAGGATGCTCACTCTGGGGACAGGAAAGCTCTATTTGAGATGGCTCTTTTTAAGAGAAAATGACCTGGTTGGAGATGGCCATATAATGCTAACCAAACAGCCTGGTCTTGACTCAAAAGAGATCCAATAAATGCCAAAAAGTGCCCCGCAGACCCGCTTCTGACAGTGATAAGATAAAAATGTACCCTGTGCATTGCTAAAAAAACCAATTCTGATTATGCTTTATAGGGAATGCTTCTGAGAAGTGTGTACTTCATTAAAATAAACAGATTACAAAGGAAAACAGAATGTGACAAAACGGAGCTGTTTTTAGAGGGGCAGTGGTGCCTGCAACGTGCTTGGACAGATCCTTATTTTTCGCTTGTCTGCTCCTAATCCCGTCGGCTCGCTCAAGCACAGCTTTGGCTATGCTGTGTTTGTGTTTCCGCAGAGAAAGTACCTCACCTTTATGCCACGTCTCTCCGTACTCGCCACCTCCTCGGATGTTGGCCACCGCAAGGACACCGCCCATGTGTCTCACAAAGATGAGCCTGGACACGCTGAGGAACAGTTCAAATAATTAACCTTCCATGGACCACCTGGTACAGACCACGCTGTCTCTCTCCAGCCAAAAAAATGTATCCCCGAAGACAGTCCACAGGTAACATTACTGAAATAGGAGCCCGGTAGTTTTATACTATTTGATTACAAATGTGCAAAATATAAAAGTTCTGATTAATGTTTAACTGCAAAGTTCATACATTCTCATGTGCATTCAGTAGATCTCATTTTTCTATACTGGTCAATGTTTTACTACAGGAAGTGGGAATACACAATTCAGGATGCAAACAGAGAAAGAACCCGAAGCTCTCATTTCATGCTGAATCCATCTTTTAAACAATTACGTTGGCAAACTGAGTATCTCCAGCCACGTGACACAGCCCTGGTGTGAATGGCTCTGGGCTTTCACAGGAATCCCCAGTGGTGGTCCCTGCTCTACTGTTTCTAGTCTCTCTCTCCTCATTGTTCAAGTTGGAATAGAGAAAGTGGTTTCTGAAATTGGGATTTTAAAGAGGTGTTCCAGTTTTACAGACATTCACATGCTGAACTAGTTAACATAAGGTGTGAGAGGGGTTGAGGAGACCAAGGACACAGTCCAGAAAGGAAGCATGGAGGGCTCAGGGCTGGAGAAAGTTTTCTAGAAATAAGTAGAAGAAACTATAGCACAAAGCTCTTAAGTAAGTCCTTTGGGAAATCTGGATTTTGTTTTCTCTTCTTTCTACTCTGACCCTGACGGTGCTAAATGACATCCATTATTTCTAATAGCTAAAATTAATTCTGCCTTGATAAGTGTTTATGAAAATTTTATCATTCTCCCTTTTAGTAGCTGGGTAAACGCAGGCTTCTGTAACCTGGGGCTCTAGATGGCCTGAGTGCTAATTTCTTGGGTCTTGAGGACTCAGAGAAAAGGGGAGTTGGGGGAGGTGATCATACCACACAACTGGATTGGCCCAACAGATTTTCAATCACCTGGTCTTCTCATCAACATTGTTCATGCACCCCTGATGGTCTCTACGGAAGCTCCCAGCATATCTGCTGGGTTCTGGGATAAAAATGGTGTAGGGACCCTTCCTTACTCATCTCTCAAGTCCCAGTGGAGCAGGATTAATAACTACTTGTACAAATGAACAAAGACAAGCAGTTTTAGCTATAGATCTGCTCGAGAATCAGGGTTGTCTCCATGCAAGACCCACTGCAGGGACTAAGGAAAGTGGGGCTCAGGATGCGAGTCTCTTAACTTATTCACTGAATGAAACACATGCTCACGGGCCCTACACTCAGGCATCACCATGACTTGAAACTGAAGCTTGAATTTCATCACTTTGAGTGATAAAGAAGGGTGAACAATGACACATTTTATTTTTTTGTTTTAAGGATTAGGTCTAATGAACCAACAGGTACTGGTTTGCATTCTTAGACTAATCATCACAAAGAATAAATATGGCATATGGTTTAACCACAAAGACACGGGCATACGAATGAGAGAGCACATCTGACTGCCCGGGAAACTGGCACGAGGTGGGCAGCCCATCTGTGTGGCTCAGGCCCTGCCCTGAATAATGGTTGGTGTGGAGAACACACTGCAGAACGCAGAGTGGCACTGTCATTGTATGGTGAATGAAGAACCACCCCTGCTCCACTCTTTTAACTGGTTTCCCTTCAGTGTATTCATATGATGATTTTACAAGTTCATCAGCTCCTCACTAACAAAAGGATAAAATCCAACTCTTTTACCAGATGTCCAAGGCAGTTCACAATTTGGCTGTAAGCTACTGCGAGGCAGGGACCATGTTTCGTACCTCATCAAATCCTAAACACTGAACCATCAAAGGCTCAAAACAAAGCAACAGTTTTCTTGTCTTCATATTTGGGGCAGCCAGTTGATCTACCCTGAATTTATGTCCTGGGAGTCACAAGTCCATAAATTTCTTCCTGAATAGGATCAGATTTCATATGAGGCTCTATTTAGAAGTTGGCTCATGGCTGGTCTTGCTGGTAGGAGACTCCTTGTTTTTACTAAAAATGCTCAACACAAATTCCATTTTATACTGTGAATGGGATATTAAATCCAAGTTTGCAAATAACAGAAGATACTTATTTAAATAACAGCAAATGTGGCAATGCAGATTTTTCCCTCCCTGAACCATACTTATTGGGAAATAATCACGTAACAGTTTAAAATGGATGAAGTAATACATAGCAGATACAGAAATTATACTTGTGGCTGAATATTAAGATGGTCCATTTTAAGACTCTGTGCTGCTGAAAAATATAATCAGTAGCTAAGAAATCATTCCCTCTGAAGAGAATACTGAGGGCAGTGGTGGGACGGCAAATGACAAACTGTGTGGGGATGACTACCTTCCGTCCAAACCTCAGCTGACACTCCCCGTGTGTAGCTCTCAAACAGCCTATTCACTGAAGACACAAGATTAGCTTGTGCTCCTGAAATTCCTGACCAAAAGGGCATGTACTTAACACACAATCCTGCCCCTCCACAAAAAACAAGTGAGAAACATACAGTTACATACATTTGAAACAATGAGTTAGTGGACTCGTCTCTGGTTTCTTCCCACCGTAGGGGGAGGATCGCATCCACGCTGAAGTTCCCGGAGCGTTCCATGCTTACCTGTAGTTGGGCGTGATGGATATGTTGAAGCCGCCGTAGCCGTATAAGAAAGCAGGATGAGAGCCATCCAATTTTATGCCCTTTTTATGCACAATGAACATTGGAATCTTTGTGCCATCCTTGCTGGGGTAGAAAATCTAGAACAAAAGAAAGCAGAATAGATTTAGTATTACTTAGTTAACGCTTGCTTGCTTTTAAATGGGAGAAACGTGCAGGTAGTCATTTGTCTCTTCAAGATGTAGAGCAGCACAATGGAGAGCCAGTCCCCCTGATGTATCCGATGTGAAGCATCTTTCAGTTTTAAGGAGACTTTGTGGAGTAGAGAAGTGTCGGAAAGTAGGGAGACCTGAATTTGAGTTCTTATTCCACAATTAGCTAATTAGGTTACCTTGGGTGACCCATTTATCATCCTTTGGCCTCAGTTCTTCATCCCCAAATGGGGCCATTGTGCCCACCACACGCAACACAGAAGAGAACAGGCCGTCAGTTCTTTGCTCCTTGTCACCCTCCCAGGACCAGAAAAGTCAGATCGGCCATCCTACCAAACAATTCAATCTAGGGAGACTCTTTTCTAGGAAACAAATTTCATATTCAACTTCCTCTCTATTCATTAAGATACTCAACTCTTCATTTTTCTGTGTTCAGCTATTATTAAGTAAATGTTAACAACTACAAATGTATTAGGTGAGAGAACAGAAGAACAACAACAAGGAAAGCCTATTATTCCTATTAAAGACATTTTCTCCAGCATTTTTTTTTTTTTTTTTTTAAGTAGGCTCTGCACCCAGCATGGAGCCCAACGTGGGGCCTGAACTCACGACCCTGAGGTCAAGATCCGAGCTGAGACCAAGAGTCAGATGCCCAACTGACTGAGCCACCCAGGCACCCCGTTCTTCAGCATTTTTTAATTAAGGCTCATCACACTCTGGGCAACCTTGGGCAAGTTCGATCAACATTTCTATATCCATTACTTCTTGGATAAAAGGGGTAAGAGAAAAAGAATAAGAAAGAGAACACTGAATGCTAATCAAGTGATGAGCCCACCAAAAGCAGATAGTGGTTTCGTCCAGACAGAAAATCTGTAAATAGTTTTCTTTTTGGGCAAACATGGTGTCTTTACCCCAAATGATACCTGGAAAGTGTTCCCGCTCAGAAATGTCTTGCTGACCTCCCATGTTACACTCAAGGACATAAGTCTTTGCACTTAGTGTGGTTTGGAGCCATATTCTATCCAAAGCTTTTGACGGTAGCAGTTCTACTGTAGAGAGTTGCCACAAAGTCCTTGGCAATCAACGGGGGGTGGGGAGGCGGGGGTGCAGATGTAGCGAAAAGCACTACAAGATGAAATAAATGCCTGCAAGGTTGGTAGTTATTGGAAACCTGCCAAAAAATAATAGCAAAAAAAGCAATGGTTTCTGACTTTGGAGAGATCCTGAGAGAGATGTAAATTTGAGAGTTCAGGAATCATGGAGAATACTCCTCAGGATTCAAAACTGTCAGAAGGGACACACACTTTTACTGAAAGTTGTCAGTGGCTGCCAGTTAGCAGCATCTAACAGAGTGTAACTGTGTGGGTGGTACGAGTAAATGCAGAGTGAGAGGAACAAGTTCCAAGTCACTGGCTCGGGCTAAGGAGTTCAAATACAGGGCCTTCAACTCAGACGTGGGGAGAATTTGGAGCACTCCAACCACAGAAGGAGCAGGGGAACAAATGGTCTCACACAATTCTACCTTAAACGAATCCTCTGTTCAAAAATTGCATTCCCTCCAGCTTACACCTGTCCTCAAACCCCTGGCCCGGCACCTCATCTCTCTCCAGTCCAGCTCACCCACCCACAACACCCTCCTCTGCTCCCTGCTCTCCGCCCAGCCAGCGGGGCTGAGGCACCTCTAGGCTCCACTCAGCTGGCTCTCCTTCTGTCCCCAAAGGGCTCCAGCTTGGTGCCCTGTGACAATGTGGCTCCTCTGGTCCCACTTTTCTGGCTGCCACCTAGAGATCTCCAGCGCCTGTGGGTCAGTGTGCGAGTCCCCCTCCCCCAGCTGGCTCCAGGACAGCGGAATCCTTTTAGAATACCAGCAGAAGCCCCAAGTCCCCTTCACGCCCGTAGATGCAAAAATATATGCAAGCTGAAGTTGGTGTGGTTCAGATGTTAAAATAACACCACTCTGAATGCTGTCCAAAAGCGAAAGGGCACTGTGAAGAGGATTACAATAAAATCCACTTCAAGAAAACTCCTTACAAGAAGGCTATTTCAGACTTGAAATGAATATACACACCATGTGAACACCCGTGTATGCAGAGTTTGTCACATCTCTGTACACACACACACACACACACACACGAGTGCTCTAGGCCGTTTCTATTTATGGCAGGGCAATTGATAATAAACCTTAACCTGACTCTTCAATAAAAGGGCAAATTGAATCCTGAGTCTTTTCGTAACCATGGAAGGAATCCATGTGAACATTCTAGAAATAGTCATTACAAACAGTCCAGCCATTTTCCATCACGCACTGTCTCCTCCTTTGACTTAACTGAAACTGCTTTCCTCTTGAAGCCACTTCCTTCAAAGCTTTTCTTTAAGAGGCTTTGGGGTGTCTTTCCCACTGCTCTGGATTTGTTTGGTTAGGAAGAAAAGCTAGCAAACTCCTTATTTCCATTTGCTTCCCAAACCTGGCCAAACCAAACAGCTCCCCTTCAGAATCTCACTAGTTGTTCTTGAAACTCATTGGCTGGGCCTAAGCATCTGTGTTGAACATGTTACAAATACAGTTTCCCAGACTCCATTCCCAGAAGTTCCAATTCAACAGGGTGGAGTGCTCAAAGCTGCGATGTAGCAAGTCTCCTACCTACTCTGGTGCAGGTGGACCGGGGCTCCAAAACTAGTCACACAGTCTGCTTTTATCACTCCCTGTATCCTTGTCAGTTGTATCGACTAAAACCAGGTGTCTTCCCACAATCCTTAATCATTCAATATGGGACTCTCTTGTTCTCCCCCTGGTTCTCATGCGATTTTCTTCAGTGACTTTAACAATGGAATTGATGACCTGTTCAGCATCCTGTCCTTACAGACGCCTGAATGCCTCATTGTCCAATCTGAGCTTCCACACCACCCTATCCACTTGTTCATTCGAATGTTTGCTGGGTGTCCATCACGTGCCAGGCGCTGGAGAATCCCTTCCCGCGCGGGACGTAGGGTGTTACAGAGACAAGCCAGCAGGCACTACGAACACCTGTGACCTTGGCTCTGTCCTTGCCTTCAGATCCTGAAACTCTGCAAGGAACGCTGACATTCCCCCTGTGATTCCAACTTGTTCTTCCCCCTTCCTTCCCTTCCTCACTCCTGAGTGCAACGTCTTATCACAACATTCAGTCCCTCGTATTCTCTCTGGCTCTGTCAGCCTCACTTGGGCTCAAGACCCTTAGCCAGCTCTCTAGGTGTCACTAATGCCTGAAATCCTCTCATTCTAACCTAAGCCACTGGATTCCTTCTCCTCCTCCAGGTTGCGGCCACTCAGAAAATGCCAGCTCACTTCACTGCAAATTAGTAATACCTGAACTCACAGGCTCTGAACTTATGCTTTCTGTAGGTTTTCTCCTTTCCCTAAATGAGTTCCTTATGTTTCTCCTTCTTTTCCTTCCTATGTCTTCCTTATACTTTTTGTACTGAAATCAATTCCAGAGTAGCTGTTTCCAACACCTGCCATCTTCTTCCATTCCCAATACCACCCATTTGCATCCCCTACTCTTTGTCTTGTCTGCTGTCATTGAGGCCATCTGCTTGGAGTTCGTAAAAAACCTTCTGCCAACTTCACTCACCCTCTACAACCCCAGAGAAAGAGACTCAGCCTTGATTCTAGTCCTTGCCAATCCCACCACCATCACACTCCCCACTACCACAACGTATTCTTTTTGCATTTTCTCCCTTTCCTTGGCATGCAAACACACTCAGAGTTCTCCTATCCTATATAACAAAACAAGACACCAAAACCTTTTGCATTGCCCTGCGTGCCCCTCAAGCTAAATTTCCATCTCCCTCTTCCTTCCTGATCACACATCTTCCACGGTAACCTACACCCACAGCTCATGCCTTCCGACCTCATTCACCACTGCTGGTAAAGTGGTGTCTTTACCACCACTTTTTTTTTTTTTTTTTAA